CTGCACTAAGACAAAAACTGAACTCCTCATTAAGGGCTGCAGGTCCTGTATGCCTAGCCCAGGCCCACTCACACCTCATTTCCTATTTCTCTTCCACATCACACCCTTCTCCAGCCGTGTGGGCCTCACCGCAGGTCCCTTCTTCTGGAGCTCTCTTGCTCTGCATTTGAACTTAGCTGATTCTCCAGTTACTTAAATATTTGCTCAAGTCTGTCTTCTCACTGAGGCCACAGTTCTTCCCAGCACTGTGAATCCCTCTTACTCTTCTCTTCCTTCTTGCAAAGCATTTACTGCCTTCTATTTTATCAATAATTGGTTATCTCCCTCTCTAGAATGTAAATTCCTCAGGGGGAAATCTTTATGTGCTTTGATGGTTTGATGGTTGTATTTCAAGTGCCTAAAACAGGGCCTGAAATATGGCTGTGGCCAAAGAAAACATTTTCAGTGGATGAATGAGAAGGTTTAGCAAGGGTGGGGCTGCTCTGGAGCCCAAAGGATCCAGTTAGGAGAGCAGAGTGGAACAGTTCCCAGGCACTGTTCACTTTGTCAGTGCAGCATAGCAGCCATTTAGATGAATTTATGATCATTGGGTTTAAATACCACTTCTTCTGCAAAGAGCAGTAAAGGATCCATAAAAGGCAGATTCCTTGCCCTTTCCTAAGAAGAAGTATTAAACTTGATTGACATTTTTAACCTTTTCATCTCTGTGAAAGAATATGCATCCAAGTTGTTTTTAAAAAATGAATCTCATATAACCATTTTATTATGAGTTTTAAAGAGAGATGGCCAAATGCCTATGTGGGAATTTAAGAATCTTTTTATAATGACTGGTTAATAGACATGGCCCAGGATTAGTGGTTACCTTCTACAGGAGATGACAGTAAACTTTTAAAGTCCATATATCACAAGAAGACTAATTGCTGAGATGTACAAAACATGACACATTCACCCCTCCATGGGTTTAAACTAACTTTTCCAATATCTGCAAGTCCAGTGACTTGCAAACTTCCCTACCATTTGTCCTCATCTTCTCTCGGTGGCCTTTCCTAACACCTGCTAACTAGAAGCCTGAACTCTGTGCTTCAGAAAGATTTTAGTAACCCCAGCTAACCAGAGGAAATAAGATGAAAAGATTGCAGTTCATACAATAAAGAACCTTTTCATCATCCCATTTCCATAATTCATTTCCTCTTCCCATAGCCAGAATAACATTAGCTCTTCTTATCAGGATTCGTCGAGACTGGTGTTTTATGGTTTAGATCCACAATGCCCCCGCTATGTCTCATATGTTCAGAGTTGGGGCTTTTGGAAAGTGATTGGATCATAAGGATGTTGTACTCATCTGTGGATTAACCCATTGATGAGTTCATGCTGTTGGTGGGTGGCACCTGGTTTGAGGTGGGTTGCTGAAGGCATGACCTTGAAGGGTATATTGTTGTCCCTGGCTCCTTCTTCTCTCTGGTTCCTTACTGCCATGGGTTGAGCAACTTTCCTCAGCCAGGCCCTTCCACTATGTCATTTTTGCCTTCTTGAGCCAGCTGACTATGGATTGAACCCTCTGAAAGGGTAAGCCAATTGAAACTCTCTTCCTTTATGTTGCAGGTGCCAGGTATTGTGTACCAGTGATGGGAAAATGACTAATATAAATAGACTTTGGTTTCTCAAGACCACACAGCCAGTATGTAGCAAAGCTGGCTTTCAATCCATCTGACTTCTCAATCTTCTGGATTTGGGGAATTTCTATTTTATGTAATTTTCAAGTGACTGTCAGAGTGAGCAGCTTTTCTGCACCATACCTTTCTGACATACTATTTCTGCCCTAGAGCCAGGAAACCATGGACTGAACTGACTAAAACCATGAGCCAAATTAAACCAGTCCTCCTATATATTGTGGGTCTTGTATATTCTGTCAAAGCAATGGGAAAGTAACTAATACACAGTGGTTCTAAAACTGTGGATCGATAGTATCACTACCTATGAACTTTGAAATGACCTATAGATGATTTTGATACATGTCTATTTTCAGAGGTACAGTTATGCCATGTAACAGTTTCCCTCTACCTTATTCATATATCATTAGCAGCTAAGATGTTGTTGAATATGCATTATGTAATTGTTTTATAGAAATAGTTTTATTTATTATTTCTAATATAAAACTATTATATTACAAGACATTACAGTTTCCCAGGAAATTTTGCTTTGTGCTTCATGCCTCACCTATTAGATAATTCCTGGATTAGAGAATATTTAAGAGCCTTAAAATGGTCTGGAAGCCCCTTTTCTGGTCCAGTGACTGAGAAGGAAACTAAACTTCTATATTGTTACTGAGTATCTATGTATAAGCCCCCTCCTTTCGAAGTTTCAAATAAGTCCCTCAAGGCTTGTTCAATTTAAGAAGCACTTTCTAGAACCATGCCTAATTCCAAAGAAAACCAAATTAAATCTTACCAAAAAGTCGTATGGAATCACAGTCTTAGAAAACATGAATTCTTGTCAAAGCTAAGGAAGAATCGCCTGCTTTTGATGCCAGGATTAACTATGGCCGTGAAATTCCTTGGAAAGACCTCACTGGTACTGATAACTGTAAAACCCTAGAGTGGCTTTTAATAGAAAGCAGAGAAACATTCATGTCTGCACTTAGTAGAACATGTGGACCCCAGATCATGTTTTAATGATGGAAGATAAATTAAAAGTGATCACCAGAACTCATTCTAAGCCTTGATTTTTTTTCCACTTTTCTTAAGTGTCTTGTGTTAGTTTAGTACCAAAATAACAAACATACCTTGCAAAGGCCCTGAAAGGGCTAAGCATCAACACAGACAATCTTGGTCAGAGAGAACAGTGTGCCAACACTGAAGAAATTGTAATTGTCTCCTTTGATATGTGTGCTAAACACTGTTTCTCTATACTTATGGTTACACGGCCATTTTGATATTCTGGAACTGAGATCTGACATATGTTTGTCTCTTTATGAATTTTTTTGTGATCTAAGCAATAACTACTTTCAAAATACAGTAAGTGTGTGTATATGTGTGTGTTTGCGTGTGTGTGTGTGTGTGTATATTTGTATGTGTATTAGCCTATTTTCCATTGCTATAACAAAGTACCTGAGTCTGGACACCTTATAAGAAAAGAGGTTTATTTAGCTCATCTAACCATCTCCAGACCTAACCATCTCCAAGTCATCCCACCAAAGGTCCCACCATCTCACAACCTTTCTACACTAGGAACCAAGCTTCTGTCACATGAACCTTTGGAGAATGAACCACATCCAAAGCAGAGCAATGTGCATGTGTTTCTTTCTGATCAGTGCAGTTAACAGTCACCACAAATAGTGTTCTGGTAAGGTTGATCAACCAGCACTAAAAATGAAAAAGCCCCAGTTTGTAGCAGTTGTTAATTTCCATGGTATAAAAATTCTCACCATGACTGACTTCAGGCTATCAAGTCTGACGTGATTGCAGGGAAAATTTGGGAAAGAAGTGCACAGTTGATACTGTTAAATTGTTGTCGGTCGACTCTAGTAAATCATTGAAAAGTAAACTATGTAGAAAGCAAATGGAAGGATTTTTAAAAATGAAAGGAAATTTGTAATATTGTGGCTGAGAACAAAATCAGCTTTAAAATGGAATTATATTTACTTTTGGTGTTTTGTCTATGTGTTTTTATGTAATTGTTAAAATTTTCTATGTAGAATTTTGTGTCTTGTCTTTATGAACATCATTTTAATGGCTGCATATTATTCCACCAAACTGTTGTAAGATTATTTACTGGCCTTAATTGTGGACATTTAGGTAACATTTCCTCATTTTTGGTATTGCTATAAATAAAGTTATATGTAATTAGAGATATACTTGTTTGGGTGTACATTTTCCTTTGTATTTCTGATTGTTTCCTTAAGACATGTTCTTAAATCAAATTATTTCAATTAGAAATCCTGACACTGCCTTGAAAGTTTTGAAAGCGTTGAAAATTGTGTGATGTGTATATTTTATTTGTTCATTGTCTACTTCGTCATAAACAGTATAAGTTCTGTGAAGGCAGTCAGTATCTCTTGGATCGAGAGGAGTATGGGACACTCAGTTGGTATTTGTTGAATAAGTATATTTCAGCCCTATATCTAAAGGTTTAATGGTGCCTTTATAAAATTAATTTACATGTTTTCTTTAAACACCAGTGATGGTAACAACTTGCAATATTATAACAAGTATATTTTTAGATTGTTTTAAGCATTGTTTTAAATAAGCATGTTAATATTTTTATGTCAATAAATCTTCCATTGTAACTTTTTCCATTCAAATTACACTTAAAATGTTTTGTTCATGAAGCTATCACTTTTCACTTACACTTTAACATTTTTATGGTCTGATTTTTTTTACTTGTGACTCTTTAATATGTAATTTTCTTACATATGATTAAGCTAATACAGAAACTGTTTTGATTTGTTTTAATGTAACCTATTATTGGGTTTTTGTTGCTGTTAAGGATATCAGGTTATTTTTTAATCATGCTCCATAATATTTTTTAATTTAACTTGAATATTTTTCTCTCATGCTAAACCTGTAGGAGTCAAATCTCAATGGACATTTCTTAATTATCTCTAAGATATTTCATGACAGTATCTCTATTCTAAAAGCACTTTGCAATATGGACTAAACTTACTTGGGTTTGTTTTAGTTATCACTACAAGTTCTGATAAGATACAATGCAAATAAATGGAAATATAATAGGAAGTTGGGTTCCCAGAAAGGAAAATATCAGGGACTAAAGTCAAATCCGCCTGTAGCCACATTTTTCCTGAAGCGCCTGCCAGGTGTCACTAGGATTGCAGAACTGACCCTTTCATTGACAGCGTGTTAAGCTCGTGCCTTCCCCATAGGGGCTACTTGATAAATATCTGTGCGTTGAATTGCACTGAACCTTAGGGCATGAGGCCTTTCCGGGTAAGTGTCCCCAGGACCAGCTTTCCTTCTCCATCTCTTGTTTTTTCTTTCTCTTAGCTGCGGTCCAGCACAGAGCTTCACCCAGACCTGCTCACAGATTGCCTTGCTGTGCAACCCCTGCAGCCAGCCGCTTCTCCGAGAGACACTGCTGCTGATACCAGCCTGGGACGGTCCCCAGGGCCGGGCCCAGACCTCTATCCAGGTAAGAACAGCAAAGGTAAAATCAATCCCACCACCACCCTTTTGTTCTTTCTGGTTGAAGGGAATGCTTACATGAAGAAAATTCTTCTAAGATCACCTGCATTTTGCTTTATCAGTTAGCTGAAAATTGCCCTCTTCATGTGATTTGTGAGCTGGGTTTGGCAAAAGCCTTTTTTTTTTCTGATAAAGGAACAAAGTAAAATCCTGGACTAGCTTCTTTAGTTGTGAACTTCTGCCAAACTTCACTGCACTCAATCCTCCCAGGTATCTTAAATTTACTAACTTGATTTAGGCTTAGAGGAAATGTTTCCCCCCTTAAGTGGTAACAGGCTGCATTTGGATTTCTTAGTGGAACAGTCATTGTCATCTTTGCATTTTAAAGGAAGCACCAGTACTCTACATAAAATTCACATCAGAAAACCCAGGATTAAGAATATTTATTAATGTTTACTTACCATTAGGGAAGGGGAAGGGAATAGCACTCCCAGACCACCTTCCTTCTGCCTGTTTGAATAAGAAATAACTCTGTATTTAGAAAAGTGCATGTATTCAGTGAACAATAAGAAAGGATTAGTATGCTACAAGGAAGTCATTTTTCTTCTACTTTCTCACCCTAGCTTTTGTGCATTTTTTACTCTATAATGGTGATGTACAAACTTTAGTTATTATCTCTCCATATGGAAGTGCTTACTGTCATGTGATGAGTATGCAAACAAAGTCTCACTGGCTCCACATTTCCAACAATGGGAATTTTATATTTATTGTGAATTGCAAATCTTACTTCTACTCTCATCCGTTTTCAAAGCCAGGCTTCACAGCAGGCTGCCTCCCCATTTGGAAATTACTAATAAGCTGTAAAAATAAAGAATTATTTACTAATACATTATAGTGGAGTAGGAGAAAGACATCCTTGTACAGGTTTTTAAACTTGACAGCTCTCAGATGGTTCAAATATAGGGGAAAAGGATAGTAAGCAATCATTTCAAGAGTGTCAGTCATCATGACGTCCTTAATGATGGTCCAGTGTCAGTAGACCTTTAACAGTTGCTTTGGGTACTTAGAGACAAACTTGCCTCTACTTTTTGAGACCCAGTGAGATGATGTTAAAACTCATTCAAAGGACTGACCAACTCTTAAGAGAGGTTTTACATACAGATAGATATACACATATCACATATGCCATTGCACAATGTTACCAACACATACATAAATATTTGGTATAAGATATACGGACATATGAAAAGCAAAACTAGCTTTTGTTTATATATGTCTGTTTTCTGTGACAAATTGTTGAGAAATTAACTTTTATTCCAGCCCATTAAATTAATAATCAGATTAAATAACCTATAAACATTTTCCTATTCCTCAATCTATAAATCTATCAAACTAAAGGCCTGGACCCAACAATTAAGGGTTAAAGACAATCAGAAGTGATTGAAAAATGAACCAGCATCCAGGATAGTTTCCAGTGGTGGGACATATATTAGTCAGGTTTTCATCACTAGGACATACACAACCTAAAGGAGGAAGGGTTTTGTTCATGGTTTCAGATGTTTCAGTCCATGGTCAGCTGGCTTCAGAAAAGAAGCATCATGGTGGGAGAGCATGGCAAAGGAAAGCTGCTCAACTCATGGTAGCCAAGAAGCAGAGCAAGGCAGAGAGGAAAGGGCAACCCCAAAGTCACACCTGCATAACCCATGAAGACATAGCCTGAAGTGAGTTTTTCTAATCCCCTGGGCAGCTCCCAAGCCAGTCAAGTTGACAATTAAGCTTAAACAGCACAGTCCAGTCTTGTACTTACACCTCTTGGGGTGGGTTTGAAAGCCCTGATATCTGCATCTGTGGGAATATCAGTGCCTTTGTTGAATGTAGCATACAGCATGTGGTTCATTTCAGAACTGTCCTGTTTGTTCTAATCTGTGTTTTGGTGTGTCTTTCTATGTCTTTAAAGTTTTGGAGTTTGAAGTTTCAGTTTGAAATGGCTTTATCATTCCCAATTGATTTCTACTTTTTGTTCATGATGCTTTTCTATATTTGGTCTTCAAAAAGATCTTGAGCTCTTGACTTTGAGCCTCTAGCTGTGGCGGGTGAGCTCCCATGACAGGTGAGGAACCATAAGCTTCCACAGCTATCAGCAGAGCATCTTCAGGTTGACGTGCATTTTCTGTGACTCTGAGAATACTATTTTATTTCCTCTGAGAATGCTTTTAACTGGCAAGTGGCCATCTTCTTGAATTTTGTTCTTGGAAATTTAATTCATCAGATAGCTTATAACCATGAACACTTATCCTCCCTACTTCCTTAGTCCTTAAATCCTATTTTATTGTCTTGGCTTCTGACTTTTTAAAAATAATCAGTTGTGCCTTTTATTTTGCTGAGTAAGCAACAAACCCAGAGGCAAAGCCATGAAGGAGAAAAACTACAAAACAAATATTTTAAGCCTTCCTTTCAAAGTTCTAGAAATGCACTTGTGGAAAGTGCATATACACATGTTAGCTGCAGACCTGGCTAAAGATCCATGAAAAAAAGCAGCATTCTGAAAAATGCCCAAAGTACATGAGGAAACTGTTCATCAGTCAGTTAAATGTAAAATTTCAAGTGTTAGGGAAATTTGATGAGATTAAAACTTGGCTACATGGAATTATTATCTTTACATTCTTATTACACAAAGTCAAGAAAAGGTTTGTTTAACAATTATCAAGCATGAGGCCATACTCTTAAGTGAAATAAATAGGACACACATGTAAATACTGAATAGTTTCTCTGGTGTGAGAAACTGAAAGTGTAAATAAGGATCAAAATTATAATAGATAATGTGAAATAGGAAGAAAAAGGTCCAAAGGGGAAGGGGAAGTGGGAGGGTAGAGGAAAGAAAAGAAGGGAAAGGAATAAATACGAGAAAAGGATAAAAAAACCAAGCACTTAGCCTTTTAAACATTAGTAAATTGATTTATCACAAAAATATTTTGATGGAAAACTATTGAGTACATGTAAGCATAGTATAGGAAGCAGTTAAATCAGGTGTTGCACCTTGTGATCTCTCAGAAGCCACCAAGATTGAGGATTTGTATTCTGAAGACATCATGGTTTTGAAATGGAAATTTTTAGTGGCTAGCAGACAATGATTTACAAGGTTCCAGGAGAGAGACAGTTTTTGCACAGCATTAAGATGAACAGGAAAGATGGTGGTTCTGATACATACAAATCTTGCACATCTCCTGGAGTGTTGGCTTCTCTTATGGAAACAAACTTTTCAGGTTGATAAGACAGAGCTTGATTGGAATGGATTGCCTGAAAAGACTTTCATTTCTGTGCAAGGAAGCAGTGTCCCTGGTTAAAGCAGCCAGATATAACTTGGGGCTACACTGAGGATGATTGTGAACTGACATGCTTACCTTTCCACTATTCTGAAAATTCCAGGGCTCCCCAGGCATGCTCCCAAGCTAACCTGAGAGCAGTGTTGTGATCTAATGGGACAGTCAGGGCAGTGATGAGCGAGCCTCGAGGCCGGCTCACTCTTATACTTTTTGCCCTTTTGTTCAGAGATTCTCTGCCCCAGATAGATAAAGCCAGAGGCCAGCTTGTAAATTTAGGTGATTTACCTGATGATCTAAGAGAGACTATTTCATAGCCAGTAGATGGAGACGTGAATGTTGCTTTCAAGGCTTAGTACCTGTACAGATCTTCTGGTGAGCTCCTGTGATGAGCTAATGAAGCAGATAAGCCAAAATTTAATGAGTCTACAACATCATGGACAGCCTGGATTGATTCCCTCACTAATAAAGAATGCTCTGCAGAAGATGATCTGTCCCTTGGGTGGTCATAAAAATTATAACTTTCTCCAAAACAAAGCTGTACTATGGATAAGTAAGACACAACCTTTTAAATCACCTAAATCATGAAGACATCAAAGAGGCCAATTTGGTTGAGATGCTTGAGTTCCACAGAAACTACCTACAAGTGAGCAGCTGATGCAGCCAGAGCAAGAGAAACCTAGGAGAGTGAGAGAATTTTACTGGTACCACTTCTGTTGGGGTTTTAAGTAATTCTTATGTTTAGAGCTTTCAAATCTTGTTACATTGTCCAAATTTTGAATGTAACTTTAGATTTTTCAGAAAAAAATAGGTGTTCTGTTCATGTCGTGCAGAAATACAGAAGGAAAACAAAAGACCTCTTTTTAGAGCAGGAATTGTTGAAGTCATGTATTCTCCTTCCCTTCCCTCTTCTCTCATTCCTGGGAGATGAGGGATTCTCTGTACAATAGCATCAGTTTTTGTAATAAATAGCGCTGTGTTCAATCTATGTAGGATTTAACCTTCTTTATGAAACAGTTTAATTTTAGTGTAATTTTAGGGTATATGTTTTAGTACATTTTCCACATTCTTAAATTGAGTATATTTGCTGTCTTTGGACAGCTTGCAGAGTTGTAAGTGTTAGAAATAATTTTCTGTAAAAGTGCTCGTATAGTCTGTTCTCAAAAAGTAGTTGTTAATTTAGGGACTTTTATTAGAGGGTTCTAAGTTGACATGCTGATTTCCCAGTAGATTGAACTCTATAGCAGAGTTGTGAAGATAAAACAACGTGATTTTTTTATAAAACTATTTTAAAAGACATAGAGCACTGTAAAATTCATAGTTATTACTTGGATTATCTCCAGAAACACTGCTTTGCTTGGAATTCACAAAGGTAAAAAATCGACAAAACAACTTTGGAATTGACAGTGGACAGAAGGAAGTGGAGACTTGGGGCACAAAAGGCATTTAAAGGAAAGGAAACATCTGACAAAAACATTTTTGTGATATCTCTTATGATGATGCCATGAACTGTTGTCAAAATCTCGTACTTTTTTGGGTAACATTTCTTGCTTTTTTGGTCTGGGCAGCTTTGCATTGGAGACTCTGTGAGGGTAGGAGTAAGCTTCATACTCCTCTACTGTAGTCACTGAGAACTTTAACCTGGAGATGTAGCCCTCCCTAGGCCAGAGCCAATCCTTTAGTGTGC